ATTCTGTAGTCCTACTGACTGACACTACTTCTCCCAGTGCTTTTCTAAGTAATTTATATTACCGCTTAAGTAATTCTGTGATACAGTTTTGCCTATACTCCCCTGAGTGCCTTATATGATCTCTTTAATTACCTGGGCTGCAATTCTTGATATTAATGGGCTTCAGACCCTTTTTATCTGGAAAATCACGCTCTTTGAGAAAAAAAAAAAAAAGAGCAGAGCTGAATCCTAATTTGTTTCATCTTCACGTCTCTATTATTAGATGCTAGAAGGGGGCTTATATTTCTTGTGCTGATCTTAGCTACAAAAAGCCTTCTTCTTCCCCATGTAGGAATAACCCTAAGAAACAGGAAAGACAACCATGATGAGTGTGTGACTATGGGGACGAGAGACATGCGAGAGCCAGAGGGAATCTCTGGGTTGAGAGAGCACACAGAGGGCGCAGAGGTGAGCCTGGCATGAAGGGTGCCCGAGATGGACAGAAAGAAAGTGATTGATAGAGTCTGGTGCACGACCGGAGTAGTATGGCAGTGGTGCCTAATCACGGAGGCTGACTGACCACCTCCCTCTGCTCATTCCAGTTATCAGAGCAAACAGCTGGAAGAGCCTGAGACGCCGTGCGCGTTATTTCTGGCACTGTCATCAAATGACTACTGGACTATCTCTGTTTCTAGTTTGAAATGTCTGCAAAGATGTTCTGTCTTACCCTCTGCCAGCCACTTGAATGTCTGAATGCTCTTGGTGCCCACACGGCCTCGGCTCTACCTAGCCCACTTCTTCCAGCTGTGATCCAAACGGGAAAACGCAGCCTCTGTTGGGTAAGAATCACCTTGATGGGCTGAGGAAAGCGTGGTCATGAAGGGCTATTGCACGGGGACACGGTGCTGTGGCTACCTCCAGGAAGACTGCACGGGACCACGGCAGCTCTTGTTTTCCTAGAAAGCTCCTTCACAGATAGCTTAATAAGGAAGGAGAGGCCCTTGGTTCTGTCACTGACTTCAAACTCTCAGGCCTGCCAGGACGTACTGATGCCTTGAGCACGTGTCCTTCCCTTGCGGCACTGGCTTGGCCGCGTGGTGAGCGTCTGCAGGGTGTCTTCGCAGTACTGATGTTGGGTGCCATCCTTGCGCTAATTGGTCAGTAGTGAATTACATGGACCTTTGTATTAAATCCAGCAGGACAAAAGAATTCCTGAAAGGCTGGAGAGAAAAGCTATTTAGGAAAACCATGATGATTTTTAGGGGGAGTAGTGAGTGGTTTCAAACTTTGAGGCTGCTCCTGTGTGCTGATCAGGACAGGATGAACGCAAAAAATCCTGGCATACGTTCTCAAAAAGCGTCCTGAGAAGGCTTTGCAGCCAATGAGAAAAGTAACTCCCTCCAATCTGGAGCTGGCCCAGCATCTGCGTCCAGTGAGTCAGACAGCGTGAAGGACAGAGCTGTCCCACTTTGTCCGTTTTCCCTCACAAGCAACATCCCCGCGGTCTTCTGGATTCGCTGATGGTAACACAGCTAGCAAGCCTGTGTTCTCTCTTGGTTCTGGAGCGAATGCTTGACATATTTTAGCATAGTTAATCCCTACAGTGTTAATGCAGGCCAAGTTGGCTGCTAGCCTTGGTCCATTTCACAAATAAGAACACTAAATCGGAGAAATGCTCTAGAAGAAGGCACCGTAAGTGTGCGCGCAGTGCCAGGCTGGTACTCTTCCCAGGCGGTGTCCTGCCTCTCAGGGCATGGGGGGGATGCTCTCCTAGGTGATCTTTTCTAGCGGAAGAGCTGACATGGGGCGGTAACAGATACAGAAGTGCACCGACAGCAAAGGCGCCTGCCCCTTCTAGGCTCTAAACAAGTCTATAAACTAAATATGCAAATCAAGATTTTATGTCGTCTTGGTGGTTGAAAAACTGGCTGAACAACAGGTTTGGCTCCAAAAATCAAGCAGTGGAGGGAGAGTACAGAACCAGCCTATGGCACTGGGGAAGGGATAAAGAGGAGGGTTGGGGTGGAGGACAACGACAGACAAGAATGGGGCAGAGTAGAGACGCATGAAGCCGGCTGCCTCCCTCGGCTTTGGTTCTAATTCAGCACAGGAAGAAAGGGAGACTACAAAGCTCTGTTTATAACTGCCCACCCCCGAACCTGCAGCTCAGTTCAGAAGAACATATAACCGCAGGGCTCATTTCCATGGTAAATGTTTGAGGTCAGGTCTGAGTTTTATCCTCGAATGACATAAAAGGAGAAGTTCCAGGAGCCAGTGTGCCTCTGAGCCGGGGCAATCGCAGTGGGCTGTCGAGTCGTTCTAAATCAACACTGCCACGTAAGCAATCAGGAGGAATAAACGTAACGGAGGGCTTTATGGGTCTGGCAATGAAATGGCCAAGGCCAAATGGTGACCTGCAAGGTTTCAAGGTATGGTGCACCCCATTGAGATCACTGCCTGAGGATCGAGTGTGACTATTTCGGCACTATTCTTTGCAACCAAGTCACACCAGCTCTGTGCTACGACTGCGGGGCTCTAAGCCGCCGGCCTCTTTCCTCCGCCTGCTCTGCCCCAGCCAGCCAGTGGGTGATGAGAGTTACTGAAGCGAGGTGAGGCCTCGGGGAGGGGCCAGGAGAGGACTGGAAACTCCACCAAGGTTCAGAGGTTACCCCAGGGTTTCAGAAGTGGTTTACAGGATCTAGCATGACCCAGACTATTTCCTCTTCTTCAGGGAGGTCAAAGTCCCAATTGCATCACCGCGGCCTACCCTAGTTCCTTTTTTGGGGGGAGAAACAGACTTGATATGCAAATCATGCAATTTCACCGATAAATGAGTCCACAGAGGGAATGACTAACGCTGTCCTACCCGGCTGGTAATTTTTCTCCTGTTCTCTGCTAATCCCAGATTTCACAATTTTAATTGCTCTTGAAACCCCACAAAAGCAGGAAAAAGAATTGGCTTTAATTGAAGAGTCAACCTCACTAATTTGAACTAAATGTAGGGGCTCTGGAACTAAAACTGCCGGGGCTCAATCCTGGCCCTACTGCTTTAGTTGTGTGACTTTGGATAAGTTCGTCTCCTCATGCCCCCGTTTCCCCACCTATACAATGAAGATAAAAGTACCTATTTCATGGAGGTACTGAATAAATAAATACACTTAGAAGTGGGCCTTCTGTGTAGAGAGAAAAGTAACACTTAGAACCGGGCCTTCTGTGTAGGTGGTATTAAGTAGAAACATCTTTTGCAGTCAAATACATGCACAGCTCGGAGCTCACGCTTTGAAGTTCATTCAGACACTCAAGGTCGGGGCTGGGGATTTAGCTCAGCGGCAAAAGCGCCTGCCTGGCAAGCGCAAGGTCGTGAGTTC